GGCAGCTCTGTGCGCCACGTGACGCCGCTCTCGACCGCGCTGTCGACGAACCGGTTCTCGGGACGGACGGGCGACCGGTGGGGCACGTACGGGTACTTGGCGTCGACCATGGCCATCGCCGGCAAGAGGATATCGCGGATCTGGTTCCACGTCACGAGCATCGTGAAGATGTGCTGGAGGTTCGGGAAGTCGGGGTTCGAGCCCGGCGCGCACTGCGCCTTGACGAACTCTTCGCACTCGGCCTTGGTCGCAAACTTGGGCACGCCGCCGCCATGGGCCATGACCGCGGCCTTCCACGCGGGGTCTGTCTCGTCCTCCCAGGCGAAGAAGCCGCGCAGGCCCTCGAAGCGCGCGCTCTCGGACTTGGCGCGCCCGCCGCCGTAGTTGAAGTTGAAGCTGCCGCCACGCTCGCTGGCCATGGCTCGCGAAGATGGAATTTGCTCTTTGAGCAGCGCCGTTGGCTGCGCGTTCGAATAACGCACTTTGACGTTGTTTTGCGCATACGTTAAATACGGTCCATCGGTCCAACCTCCTCGTCGGCGACACTTGCAACTTGCCGTCGCGACGAAACCACGCAAAGACACGTGCGTGCACGAGGCACACGCTGCACGCACCCCAGCCTCTTGGTTGTTCGCGTCTACGCTTCATCTGGCGTGTAGAGACACCATTCACAAGATTCCAATATGGATTTAACCTCTTTAACGCGAGGGCCTGCGCGTGTCAACGCAGGCCACGACACAGGTCCAAGTAGGGCGTGTGGGCGTGCTCGACATCAGCGGCAATGGCACGTTGCGCTGGCAACGCCCCATTGCAGCGCTGCGTTTGACGCGATAGCATGGATTAAACCGAATTCGCGTAAAACAAGTCATGCCTGCGCTTAACGTGGTGCCGGATACCGTACGTATCCGTATGACCACGCCATTTCGACAGAAAGCTTTGTGACGTGGACGGCGATGGTGTGCTGGCGATCGCTCGCAGTCGTAGCCGGCGGCGCGGCCGTGGGCTTCGCTGCCGCCGAGGATGTGCACGAGTATGTGTCTCGGGAAGAGGTCTTCGTCGTCGCCAACACGGTAGGCACCTCGCGTCTGCGTTGCAATCCAACGATGGCGGTAGATTCGGCCGTTTTCCAACCCGACCGAGACGTACCACTACTACAAGCTGCCGTTCTGCAAGCCGAAGGAGCGGCAATGGGACGACCACGACCTCGGCGAGCTCCTCACGGGCAGCCGGAAGGTCGTGACCGACTACCGCATCTTCTTTGGCGTCGACGTGACGTACAACGAGCTGTGCAAGGTCCCGTTCACACCGGACGTGCAAAAGGCCTTTACGGACGCTGTCGAGGAGGACTATGTCTTTGAAATGTACGTCGACGACATTCGCGTCTCGGGCCAAGTGGGCGAGGCCGTCCAGCGTGTCAAGGGCGGCAACTACCTCCAGCAGCACTTGCAGCACCTCCAAAAGTACGCGCCGTCGTCGTACGACTACTACCTCAACACGCACCTCCACTTTGACATCGCGTACAACGACGTCGACAAGGCGCTCGGCTACGACGGCGACGACGAGGTTACGTCGCCGGTCCGCAAGTATTTGGTACGACACGGCGTGGTCCATGCGCCTCCTCACGAACGAGCACTAGATTGTTGGCATCAACATGACCATGACCAACTCGGTCGAGACGGACGAGAACGAGTTCCAGTACCACCTCGCCGAGCCACTCACGGGCGCGTCGGCCGACATTGTGTTTACGTACTCGGTCAAGTGGCAGAAACAGTCATGGGGCAAGTATGAAGACCGCCTCTTCAAGGTACGATCCAAGAAGTTAGTACATCGGTCTAACGCGTATGGCAGGACCCGCTCTTGCCCGAAGTGCTCGAGATCCACTGGCTCAGCATCATCAACTCGTTCGTGCTCGTCATGCTTCTCGTCGCGTTCCTCTCGATCATCATGTTTCGCATTCTCAAGCGCGACGTGTCGCGCTACATGGACCTCGAGGACGGCGCCGACCTCCACGACGAGTCGGGCTGGAAGCTCGTGCACGCCGACGTCTTCCGCAACCCGCCGTTCCTGGTTCTCTTTTGCGCGTTTGTCGGAGCCGGCGCCCAGCTCTTTGCGATGCTTTTTGGTGTCCTCGTCCTCTCGCTCCTCGACGTCTTCCACCCGAGCAAGCGCGGCGGCCTCGTCTCGGCCATCGTCGTCGCCTACGCGCTCACGGCGGGTGTCGGCGGCTACCGCTCGGCAAGCCTCTACAAGCAGCTCGGCGGGTACCAACCTCCCGTTCCTCCAAAACAAAAATGGATGCCATCTCGGGTCGTAGGCAGCGCTGGGTCTGGAACATCGTTGTGAGTGGCCTCGTTGTCCCCGGCCCGCTCATCGCGATCTTTGCGTTCCTCAACACGGTCGCGATCTGGAACGACTCGTCCGCAGCGCTCCCTTTTGGCACGATCATGATTCTTCTCTGCCTCTTCCTGCTGGTCAACGTGCCGCTTGCGATCACGGGTGGTATTGCCGGCCGCAACCTCACGGGTACGATGTCTTGACTCTTGCACTCGTTCATGACATCTGATGCGGGTATGCCAGCGCCGTACAAGCCGCCGTGCCGCACCAACAAGATCCAGCGCGAGATTCCGATGGTGCCGTGGTACCGCCGGCCGATCCCGATGGTTGTTGCGGCCGGCTGCCTTCCGTACAGCGCCGTGTACATTGAGCTGCACCACATCTTTGCGGCGATCTGGGGCCACCAGATCTACACGCTTTTTGGCATCCTCTTTCTGGCGTTCATTATGCTCGTCTGCGTCACGGCGTTCATGACGATCACGATGACGTACTTCCAGCTCGCGGCCGAGGACCACCGGTGGTGGTGGCGGTCGTTCTGGTCGGGCGGCATCACGGGCGTCTTCGTGCTCGCGTACAGCGTCTGGTACTTTGTGACGGCGACCGAGATGACCGGGTTCTTCCAAGCCGCCTTTTACTTTGGCTACTCGCTCATGATGGCGTACTGCTTCTTCATCCTCCTCGGCTTCATCGGCTTCCAGTCCGCGCTCCTCTTTGTCCGCAAGATCTACACGACGATCAAGGTCGAGTAAGTGATGCCGCACGAGACGACGGATAGAGTCATTGAGGTCATTCATCCGCGATTCAATCGCTCCAAGTTCTGTAAAGAGATGCATTGCTCGTATAAGATACACATATCGCAGTGACCCGTGTTGGAGAAGGCTACAGATCGCGAGCGATGCTGTAGCTGATAGAGCTAGGTCCACAGACTCATATCGTAGCGATGCAGAAGCCGCTGCGTTGCGCCAACATCGCATGCAGCGAATTTATAATAATATTTATGCAGCACTTGATAGATCAGCTATGAGGCCGTTCTCTATTGCCAACTATCGCATTGGGTTTGCTTCTCCAAAAGTCAGAACCACTGCTGCATCTCTGCAAGACGCTTCTAGAGAGGATCCGCTAGAAATGAATTGAAAATCCGCTGCAATGGATATCAGCCCAAGCCGGGTGACCCCAGATGACCTGTACTGGACCCTATGCGCATGTTACGGGCTGGGCTACTCGCGGCTTGAGGGGGGCAAAAGCCTTACGAGACTAAAATCTCCTCAAATGGCAACTTGAGTTGAAGCGAACATTCGGAGACCAGCGCTTCAAATGGTGTCATTTCTGTCGTTGGAGCTTGCACCGAGCAGAGCAGGCTTGAGCTGATCTTCGAGAAGTCCTGGCTGGAGCTGATGTTGCAGAAGGGTGAGCTGATCTTTAACGTAGCGCTCGGCACTGTCGCGCGTCGTGCGCACGCGATTGCTCTTGTAGTCGTAGGGCATCAAACGCGCCGCACCACTCGGACTTTGGGTCTCTTCAAACTTCAATTTTGAGTCAAAATTGAAGTGCGGCCGTGAACTTGTCAAATTTTTTGACAAGTTCACGGCCGCGATCAAAACGATGTACGAGTGTTGCCGCAAACGACTCTTGAAAGAGCTTTGCGTCTATACATGTTGTCGATAGCGTTCGAAATGGCGAAATGTGGAAGAAAGCTTGGACGACCATCGTCGCATGGGCCGCTCCGCCCTCGGTTCTGGTTGGTTCCAGCGCAGCTGGCGGCTCCAGGCATTAGTCGGGGCTCATGAGCAACGCGTTGATGTTGCTTGCTTCGTGTGGGCGAAGATCCGACTGTCGACAAGCGACTGGGTCCGCTCGTGCATTAGTTTTGAAGCGCAGAGCACAAACGACACGGTGGTGGAATTGCAGACAAGGTCGCCGACAATATCATCTTAGCGATGGTCTTGAACGTCCTCCGTAGCTCGTGCAGGACGAGTCTCCATGCAACCAACGACGACGTGATTGATGATGTGCTAAAGTATGATGCATTTCCTCTAGAGCAAGCGAAGAAACTTGCGCGCGTTGTAGGTCGTGGCCGCCGCAACGTCCTTGGCCGGGAGGCCCAAGCACTCGGCGAGCGCCTCGACGACGCTGGGCAGCGCAGTCGCGACGTTCGGATACTGCTTCTTGGGGTGCGCGGCTGCGAGCTTCCGGCAGTGCGGAAAGCCCATGTACGGCGCATCCGTCTCGACCACGAGCCGGTCCAGCGGCACGACGCCGTCGCGGAGAAGCGACTGGAGGGTCGCGCCGTGGGACTTGCAAATGAAGCCCGTGACGCCAATGTAGAGGCCCATGCTGACGTACGTCGCAGCTTCCGCGGCCGTGCCCGTAAAGCAGTGCACGACGGCCGGCGGCAGCTTGGCGGCGCGCTCCGTCAGTGCCGCCACAAACGGCTCGT